AGGAACAAATGATATAATTTTCTATCATAATATTTATTGATATGTATAATTGTTTGTTGTTTAGCTATTTATATCAAGTTTAACTAAAAATCATTCAATAAATTGTAATTTAAGTCGAATTTTCTACAAACGTCAAAAAATGACATTGATATCAAATTGCGAAGTGAAACTTTTTTTCAGTTTCCTACGTTAACATGATACCTTGCACAAAACAATGCGCGAAGTAAAACAGTGCGCGAAGTACCTACTTCGCGCATTGTTATGTAAAATATATGAGATATTTTTCCAACTTTATGGTCCTCAACCGAGCACACATTCTCGAAATTATTCATTTCCGAATGTTCATCAATAACTTTGTTCCATCTCTTAGAGCGCACGAAAGAAAATTCCTATTATGTTCGTGGAACATCGTATGCGTACCTAGGGAGGATAGTGGGAGGCCTTTTAAGCCAGTTCAACACTATTTTTTATATCAAGCTAAGCATATTTTCACTTTAGAACTATATTTTTTGACGTTTGTAGAAACAATTTTGTTTGCAACTCGAGCGCGAAATACTTTGGTCATCTCGACTATTTTTTTAACTCGGCTACGCCTCGTTCAAAAAATCAGATCTCGATCACCAAAGTAGCATTTCGCGCTCTAGATACAAAAATAACTACACTTTCGTTGTTATCTGATATGAAGCTCGTACGGAAAATGTGATTTTCTATTATTATATTTTATTGTAATATGTGATTGTTGTATAGTTACGTTTTTCAATAGGTTATTATTTTTTTAATTTTCCTTTTCATCTGATATGAAGCTCGTAGGAAAAACGTTGTTCCTAACACATGTACAAAGTGTCTTTTCCGCACGCAAAAACTTATTGGAACTCCGCTCCGCGTCGTTCGTCTAACTGTATTTGCGTGCGGAAAAGTAACACTTTTTGCACTTGTTAGGAAAATAACTATTTTGACATCGTACTCGACTGAAGCAAATTGATATCTGACATTCGTATTTTTGATTTTTAGGTCTTTTAATGAATAATCACTCCTTTTCCTAAAATGGATGATGAGAAAAATTCCATTATAGGGCTGCCAACTTCCTTAGACATATATAACGTACCGAAAAGAGACCAAAAAATAAATGGCAAAACCGAATCGAAATTATTTTCTGGGAACCGTAACTGAATCGGATCCGAAATTTCCCATGTTTCTTGGACCCGAACCCGAACCGGAAACAACGGAAACTGTATCTCATTTGGGTACGCATCCTTGATATAAATAAGGAAACTGGTGGTCCTTAAGGTCCTTAAGGGACGAGGTCACCTTATAGAGCGACTATATACGGGCGTTGTATTCCAATCAAATGTATAAATTACAGGTATCACAATCCATTCATATACCATTCAATCGTAGTCCATATATCAATTTTCTATAATCCATCAATTTATTATCTCGTTACAGTCGTTACTCGAGTAACTTGCAACAGCGCAACAACGGAACATACCGATGGCTTAAGTTCAAAATGTCGTATCCCTGGAGGGTATAACTTTTCAGGAAGTACAAAAAACTGAATATTTTAATAAACACCCATGAAAAGCTCAATTCTCCATACTCATTTCCATATATGGCATTTTCGCAATATCATGTGGACTCTTTTGAGAACTATTTTCTCGTTTTTGAATAAAGATGTTGGTTACGACATTTCGTAGTTCTGTTATTTGTGGGATACGTCATTTTAGGAAACGTATCTATACTCAAAAAAATTTGTAAACATTTCATTTATTGATTTATTGAAGAAAATACATTCTTGAACTAAAAAATAAAAAAAAGAAAACATCCAAAGAAATATTTCCAAGTCATTTTTTGGTGCTAAATGGAATCTCATCATAAAATGTCTTCACTTCAGCTGGTAAAACTTCAGTGAGTTGCTGAAGATGGTCGTATTTTTGTTTAGAAATTGGAATTCTGGTCTTATATAATGGTCGTTTCTCAAAGTTCGCATGAGTATGAACTGGTCTCTTAGGTAGTGGTTGATAATCTTCCTGCGAATAGTCTATTTTATAAAAAATAACACCTTCTGGTGTGTACTTCAAACATCTGAGGTCATTGACTGTAGGATCATTCTTAATTCGACCAGGACGAATGGAAAGATATCGAAAGTTCTCTTTTACATCGTAATCAGTAAAAAAGTCATGAGTCAGGTAGTAGACCTCGAATGGTGAGGGATTCTTCCTAGCTTCCCTAATAAAAATAGGGTATTGACTGGGCAGATGAATCTCCCGTCCTTTGAGTTTTCGTTCGATCAAAGCATGAGCTGAGTCCACCTCCATTTGGGTGTGACCCTTCTCCAAAAACTTTTGAAAAATGGTCACACCGTGAACTACAGAAAATTCGAGCAGGGCGTTCGCTAATGTCATATTTCTGTTCTGATACCCACATCCGTCAGAATAGAGTATTATTGGCTTCTTTTCTCCAAGGCAGAAATTTTCCAGATGTTTCAGGATACAGCTGGTGAATATTGATGCAACAACTTCACCCTCAGTCTCATTCCAGCAGTAGTTGACACAATGATGATCAGTTAGATTATAGATTGAGAAATTATGGACCTGTAGTTTACTTTTGAAATAAAGCTTACTGGCATACAACATGGGGCAAAGTTTTACTGCCTGTACATCCATAGTGAATACGTGAAATTCTCCTCTCATTGCTGCTTCCTTATCCTTCGCTTTCTCGTTTCTTGCTTGATCTTTCTTTGCTATATGATTTCTGTATTCTTCTTCAGATGTATTCCCAACTTTATAAGAACAGCACAGATCACACTGATCTTTCTTTGGTTGATGTATTGAAATATTCATTTCCTGCAATGTCATCATGAAGGAGCAGATCGACAGTGGTGAATTTTGCTGTTCTTCACAATGTGATTTGTATAGATCATACAATTCAGTTTTATTTTTGAAGTTCTCTTCCAGGTATAATTTTTTTGAATCAGCTCTGCAATAGTGTGATGGCAGTTTGGGGATCGAATTAATGAATGCAATCATTATGTTCTTCTTCTCATTATCACCCTTTTGTTTTGCAGTTTTATATCTTTTCAGATTGTTTTGTTTCACCATTCCATGCACAGTTGGAACAGTTACCCAATCTCTTACCGACCTCTCCTTAACTCCAAGTGTATTGAGAAACATCTTCTTACACACATTGATCTTCTTATTTTTCAGTTGTAGATTATAATGGAATGTTCCTTTCCTCCTAGAATCTGTTTGAACATAACATCTTTTCTTTTCTTCGTACTTAACAAGAGATCTGACGTAGTTTTTTTTATTTTCCCAACTCAATTTCCAAAACATATCGAAAATTTCGTTCCGTTTCTCTTCATCCACCTCATTGCATGACTTCCCAAGCGACTTACATTCACATTTGACTCCTAATTTTCTAGCCGGTCTCTTCACCCTTTTCCCCTCCTGATCTTTCGAGTCTGCTGCAAAATATTCTTTTCCCTCCATCCTCAATTTTTTATTTCTCATTCGGTCCCATTGCTCTGGATCACTTTTTCTTTTCCGCTTGATATTTTCTTGCAACGGAGGTTCGCCATCTCCTTGTATCTCAGAATTACTACTTTCGTCAGTATTATCTGACTCCATATTGGGTTCATAATCTGAATCTTCATCAGCGACCTCACGATCCTCAGGGTTTTCTGACTCAGTGTGGCTATTATCTTCTGGGTCCTGATTCACTTCATTTTCCTGAAAGTTTCCTGCTGATGAATCTGTGATACTAGTGTTAATATGCTCCACCGTATCTTTCTCGAAAATGGATGCAGAATTTTCATTCCGTAAATCAACCACTTCAATAGAAATGTTTGGGCAAAGAGTGAAAGTGTTAATGTCATCTGGAAATACAATTGGAATTCCATCAATAACTTCATTGTCAATTGTTTCAGTAGATATCGGCAATTCTGAAGGAGGTAAAGCAATGAGGGATTCATTGGTGATATAATTATCTTTCTCCTCATTTGCATCAATCGTTTCAATGAAACTGATTGATTCGATTGAATGTGAAACAGTGGATTGATTGGTGGAAAAGTCATTGTTTTTCACATTTTGTTCAACCGTATCCCAGAATTTCGGTGGTTCCATAGAATGAGGTTCGATGTATTGATTATATGCAGGTAGTTCATTTTTTTTCTCTTTCTGTTTTTCTTTTTCCTTGTTTTTCTCATGAAGAATAGAGAACATTTTGGAAACCCGGCTTGACATTCTGAAAAAATAGTAAAGTATTGTACTAATATTATTGTGTCGATATTCACCAAGAAAAATAGTTATCATTATTTAAGACAAAAAATTCAAATTTCGAATTGTTTTTTCTCGATCGAAATTTATTTCGAAGGAACATCAAATTGTCGGAAGCCAAACATCGAGTGGACAGAAACAACAATTCAAAATGTCGTATCCCACTGAACGAATTCGAATGGGATTAGCTGATTATTTGGCAAAGACCTTACACTTTGTTCAGTCAAAAAATATCAAGAATCAATGTCTCATAGCTGTTTTGCATAAATAAGTAGCAGTACTCACCTGATATCTTGAATAATAAAAGTTCTAACATAGGATACTACCAGCTGTGACCACACTTATGCGTTGACAGTGGTAAACTGGCGGTTACAACGTTTTGACCGACAAAAAAATGGTGGCTGTGGATACGACGTTTTATTTTTATTCGACAGCATGGCCAAATTGTGTATGTGGCTTCTGATGTATTGAAATGACATGCGCAAAGTACGGTTTTGTTCAATGGCGCTCAAATTCAATTTTCCGAATATTTGAGGGTTACGACGTTCTGCACTTAACCCATCGAAATTACATATTTCTTGCAATATGCCTACCTGTGTGTACATCTGGCAACTCCCCTTTGACAACCTGCGCCGATTCGATTCGTATCTGGGGACTTTAGCCCAAAGTCGACAATGAATACGTTGGCTGCCCTGGATCACTAATGACGGTTCGCATATTGTCCGCCAGAGAGCGCGCGTGCGGCGCGACATTTTACATGGTTTTGGTTATTGACTGACTGGTGCTGTGCTGTTGTAAATATTGTTTTTCGGTGTGTGAAAAACCGTGTGTGTTGTCAAGTGTATGGTGCGAGTGCCGTACAGTGTGTGTGACTGTGCACAATGTCTAGAAAACCCGCAGGCTGATGGAAACCGTCGCGAACAGGGTGAAAAATCCGCCATAGGTCGAATAGCCTGTGGTAAATGCTTGCTATGTCGGCGGAGGGCCACCCTAAAGGCGGCTGTAATGTCTGAGCCATGGATGCCGAAGTAAAACAGAGAAATCGGCGAAGAAAACGCGCCCAGCGTATGCAGGCACAACGCGAGATCAACAAAGCTGACCATCTCGATGGAGACAGCGGAGACGAAGATGTCATTCCAGCGAAGCCTCCTAGGCCCCCCAACCGACGAAAAAAGTCTAAAGAACCTCTTTGCGAAGAGGACATTATTGATGGATTCGCAATATTACAATTTCGCTCCTATGAAGACCTAGAAGTGAGTACAAAACATGATTACCATAACAATCTCTCCTGCAATTTTCTCACAAAAGTTTTGGCACAAAAACGCCTATCGATCATAATAAATTCATTTGAAGTGGTCATTATTGGAAATAACTTCAAAAAACCACAATCAGTGGACATTTGAAAGGACTTTCTTTGTTATGTTTCAAGAAGTGTATGTACCTATTTACCTATTTAATAGATACTTCAGAACATGATGTAGGTAGGAAGGTACCCCCATAGGTAGGTAGGTACTTACCCAAGTTACCTACCTAGGTTTATCTACCCAAAGTACCCACCTAGTACCCTATAGTGCCAGTAGTTCCTACTTATTCAAGTACATACTAGGTTATATACCTACTGAGTTACCTACCTAATCAAATGTATCTTTTAATTCAATTAAGTGCAAGTGATATTTTTTGTAAGGTAGGTAGGTACTTTCCTTTTTCAGATATTTTCAAAATCCTTCACCCAGCCCTTCTTAGATATAGATCATAGATCTGAAAACAAACTATCTAGGTAGATATATTGAAATCATTAGAAACCCAGTTCTTAAAAATACTAGATGTAAACATAGACAAAACTAGGAAATGAATTAGACTGAGAGTGGAAATGAAACGAGCTGCAACAAGACATTAACTTCTCCTATGGCTATAACACAAAATTGCTCTTGTTTTCAATAAATCAATGAGGTACCTACTTTGTATGTCATTGCATGTCATTAATTTTATTTCCGTATCTGATATCACAATGACTTTATTGTGTTTTTATTTCACAAAATATCATCTCAATGTCAAATTTTGAGCGATGACAGCTCTGTCTAATCTAATAGATGAGCATTAGGGAAAATCCGAGGAAAATCAGATCACTACAAGCTACAAGTTATCTGTTACTTTTCATTTCCCACTCCTATGATTTGCAGCATTTACCGAATGGCATTTGTCAGCCAGTCAGTCATATTTGGACTATACTATAAATAGACTATATGGACGATCTCTTGTGAAGTGGGTGTCGCTTTTTTTGAAAAACTCAATTTTCCATTGGGTTCTGAGTAGATTTTATAAGGAGTTCTAGAGTCCCTGACTGAAATTTTGAATAGTTCCAGCCGAGGTTCCAGCATGTTCCAGCAAATGTTCCGTAGATGTAAATGGAAAAAATTAGATTGAGCGCTAACTTTACGCAGCGCCGTTTTTTTTTCTTCGAAAAAATGAGTTCTGATGTTCTGATACTTATTATTTTTTGGTGTGTTACGGTGTGTTTGAGTTATAAAGAGTTTTGGAGTTCTAAACCTATTACTTGAATAGTTCCGGTGAAATGATAAAGTTATAAGTATATGGAATATTTAAAGAAAAAATGTATCTGTCCATAATGGCTGCATTTCTTGGATTTGTGGAACATATTATAGATTCTTCTCAAAATTCATTTCAATTTCACACAATGTCCAAATAATCCATCATACTGTGTTCACCTAAATTCATTGTCAATTTTTATAATCGATTTGATTCAAATTATTAGTTGGAACGTTGCATAGAAACACATTTTTTCTGCCTAGACAGTAAACGAGACAGTAAGAGTACACAGATTCTGCCTGCTGAGTGTCATTAAAAAACCACTTTTGATGTCATTCGGAGAAAAAGGTTTCGGGCTTGGCTATGAAACGCCAACCAGGGCATTAAATCTAGTGCTTTTCTGCCTAGTTAAACCAAAGGTAAAACACATAATTAACTCTGTTCCTATTGAAGAAAACGCTATCTAGAAAAATGGAGGTGAATCAAAGGAAAATACAAAATCTGAAAAAGTCTGTCAAAGTTATGATAACCACACGACGACCAGTAGAAATGGGTCTCGAAATCGGTATAATCTCGGGTACCTATAATGAAACAGGAACAGTTCTGAATAGCGCCCAAGAAGTTCTACAAAAAAGATGCTCATCATGTTGCAGAGAAAATAAAACAAGTAATATAAAGGTACCTATTTTATTTGCCAGATGTCAGGGGTGCACACATTGAGAAATTATCATTTTCGAGCGTTTTCGAGGGAGTTCTGAGTAGCGTTTGACGCGACGTTGCGTTCGATGAGTTCTTCAGGATATTTATTATTGTGTTTGAGAGACAGAGCGATACTCTTTACTACATGCGACTGTACTTTTTCATTCATCAGGTTTCAGGACTCGTTTCAGAATGTATAGTTATGGAAAGCGCTCGACTATTATAGTTCTTCAAAATATTCTCAGTTCTTTTATAGGTAGATCAATACCTTTTTTTCTCGCTTTTTATTTACCTACCAGGTGTCAAGGTGCCGATTTCGAAAAAAAAAAGTAGGTAAAGCAGAACAGTTATGAAAGAAGTTGTGAGTAGTGCTCCAGGAATTTTTCAAATTATTGTCATTTTGTTGTATCATTTTGTTTTAGAGACAAATCCATACTTTTTCATTCATTGGCTTTCATGAGGTGCCGACGTCAAAACAAAACACAACCACAAACTGCACATTTCACTTTTTTAATATATTTTATCTACTCACTGAATCCAAAGTAGGCGTTTGCTCCCTCATTCGAAGAAAAAAAAGTTATCACTTTACTTCCATGGAGGGAAAAATGTTTTCTCACTTGGAAGTTAAAATAAATTGGCTTCAGCATGCATCCTTTGGCATCCATATACCTATAAAATCTGTGCAATCCAAGTAATCAGTGTCTTTAACACTATTATAAAACAATTAACAATGATATCCTGTTTGAATTCCAATGATATCATATACGCTTCTTCATATTCTGAACGTATTTCGTATCATAACTTTCAAATGCAGTTACACAATATACAAAACCATTTAATTCATGATGACAGAAGTGTTAAATTGACTTTCCTTCAAATGCTGTCGATTGTCCATGGCATACTATACCTTTGTAATGCATAATGATTTGGATCGAGAGATAGACCAGAGAGATAAACAGTCTGAAACACAATTTCAAGAATGATGCTTCAAAAGAATGCGTTCGTTGATGAAACAACCTCGGTGGCTATGCGTCATGCATCAAACTTCACACGCGGGAAATAGCTATTAAGTACCTAAAGTATACAATTTTTCAATATCAAAATACTGTTTCATTATTTTACAGAAAACTGTGAAAAAAATACACATTTTTTCACGGTTGCTAGGCTATGGGATGAATGCTCGCGTGAAAGGAGTCCATACACTGTGAGGTTGGTAGGCTGTTTTGTTCGACGAACAAAAATGACACAAAACCGAAGTTTGTGGCTGCAAAATGGTCGTTTTCGCTAGCCACACACCATATACTTGGGTTTTGCGTCATTTTTGTCCGAACATACTTGTACCACGAACGAAACAACCCACCAACTCCTTTACGGGACTCAGCAAGGCAGCAAGCGAACAAATTAAGGCTTCTGACTTCTTATTTCGTATGGAGTGCCAGTAAAATAGAGATGAGAGCGAGAAGAAGGCCCCACGATATCCTCGCGTTTTAGATAATAATATGCACGCATACGCACGCATTTCATGTATGATTTGATCAGCATCGCTGAACTTGAGCGGGATGAGTGATTTATTCAAATTAGCCGAATGTGTTAATTATTTACATTATTATGTTGTATGGGGTTGTTCTCTCTTTTGGCAGTTGTATATAGGACAAATATTGTATGTAACACATGCGCAAAGTGTGTTTTTTTTTCACTCATATGAATTGCCTTACTTAGCCTTAGGCGTCGTGCGTCATTATTTCCTACTCGTAAAAAAAGTACCACTTTACACACTCGTTACATAAATGATTATTTTCTTACAACCACCTATGAAAGCAGCATAGAAAGTATCTCATATCACGATCGCTAAGCGAAAGTAATAACGAACAGTGTGGCAATATTCTCGCACGCTCACGTGATCTTTGTTTGATCTATATAAAGCGTGAAATAATTAATACCTCGGTTATTACTTACCATCATTGAATATAAATTCATTTTCGTTAGAGTTTAAATTTTGCCCCATGAGCACTAATAATTGCTCGAATAGTTGTTTAAGTTTCGTTATTTGATAATTTGCCATAATCTGCGAGTCATAGCCTCATTGCTGTCAATGGTGTTTACACCGGTGTGTCTTGGGTCTACACCGGTGTGGCTCGGGTTTATACACCGTCGTGGCTTGGCACTCTGATAATTTTGGTTGTGTGGTTACGTAGTGCGTGGTAGCTTTCGAATGCGAGCTCGAATGTCTCGGCCAAACTTCGAATTCAATAAAAAATATGATTTCCATATCATTTCAATTTGTATTCATTGAAAGACATATAACAAGTTATATTCAAAACAATTAAATGTTTGAAATTTGTATTTGTATTTTGCATGTGTTTCAAATTATATATTAATGGTCGTATATAGGAAAAAAAGTGCACATTACTCGTTGGAAGTGTATGTCACTTTCCACACTTTTCATGTAATTGTCATTATATTGTGTTTTAGACATATTTCGATATTTTTTTATTGAATTATAGTAGTAAGAAACTGAGGAGTAGGGAGTAGTGATTCACACGAGTCCAACGAGACGAGACTTTCATAAAGTCTCGTCTCGCCCATGAAATATGAAGTCTTGTCTCGAGTCTCGTTTCGCACCCTCGGGTTTCGTCTTGTCTCTCGTCTCGCACGATAGTCTCGCAAATGTATCGCAATTTCGTCATGCATAATCTTGTTACCGTTTTGTACGGGATATTTACCTTTACCTATACTTTTTAGGTATAATGTATAAGTAGGAAGAGAAAATTACAACAAAAATAACATTATTTATTGAAAAGTAATTACCTAATAGGTACGTATACTTACATCATACATTTATCTGAACAAGAAAAAAAAACATAGCATTATACAGGGTGGGCCGCCAGTAACGCCTCGGTCTCTAGAAGGCTAACCACTTATCTTCTTGGAATTCTTTCTCTCTAGGAAGTTGCATGTCAACATAGGCTACCATTTAAAATTATTTCGAAACATACAGGGTGTCCCCAAAAACCATAAAACACTGAAGTTAAACTTTTTTCTATCGAACACCCTATATTATTTCATTTTGAGATTCTTCCTGATGAGCTGATTTCAACGACCCATCATACTTGGGGTCTAGCAGTTATAATTACTGAAATATAGGGTGTGAAAAATC